GCTTTCCTTAGGGCAATGTCTGACGGTAAGTGCTTCGGGTCGTAATAGTTTTCAAGCAGTAATTCTGTGTTTGGTAGACAGCGGGCCAGTGTGGTTTGCGCTGGGAAGGGGGCGGCTTCCGACAGGACAATGTGGTATTTTTCCATGATTTAGTTTGCTACTGTAAGCGGAGTGGTTTGTGTTTTAAGACGTGAGGCTGCTTGTCTATATTCGTCCCATTTTTGTGGAAGTATTCGTCTTTGCCTTTCCCAGAAGGTTAACGCGTGTTGCTCTCTGCGGCATTGTATTGGTATCAAATATATAAGATAAATCACTAGTATCCATTCTCTTCGTAAATTCAAAATTTTGTTACAAACTACAGTGAGTGTTCTGGTAGATGTTCTTCATTTTTTGTATTCAATTTCCATATTTTAATCCTTTATAGAATCTACGTTGATAAAGTTTTTATTTTGAACTTATTGTACTTTTAAATTTAACATTAAAAGCTAGTATTAATTAGTTTGTATTATTACTTTCAGGTACCCGATAGATATAAGCTAGAGGTGAAAAAAGATAACGGATCCAATCAGCCGAATCCGAACAATCAAGCTAATGAAAAATCTACGAAAAATTAACAAATAATAATACCTGTGCAAATGCATGTTGCTTGAATGTATTTTTAATAAATTTTTGACATATTGTTACTTTATAATATTGTAATAATAATAATATAATAAATATTGAATAAATCTCTGACGTAATTCTGAATTCCCCTTCTCGCCACAACCTATTCAGTTAAAAACTATAAAATATAAGCACATACCAAAAATTAAAAATAGATCACTTGAGAAAGGCATTCTGCTGAACTGTTTATTTTATAACGTGGTTTGTGATTTTTTTACTCTTTTATTTAAGAACCATTACAATATATCGGCATGGCACGAAGTGTCTTCATCTATGTGACAACCAATATCAAACATAAAATTAATATGACATATAACATCAAACTAATAGAATAGTACTTAAAACTAAATATATGACCACTTTCTCTTTTTAATTTTTGTTTAATTTTTTAGAATATATAATCCTTAAATTTAATTGGTTGCTTAATCATCCTGTTGATCATCATGTTTAGTCATTTTTTATTTGATTAGGTTCGTTATATGTCTATTTCTTTCAGTGTCATTGTTATTCACAATATCATCTAGTGTTGGTATAACACAATATTCTTTTTCTAATGTCAAATTTAAAAACTTTGGATCTAAACATCATCACACTCTTAGTGACTTATCACTTTTTTTCAACAATTACCAAATTGTCTTAACCACTCCATAGGCCCTTCACATGGAGAAATCACACCTCTCAGTGTTAAACTATCAAGCACTTCCTTTAATTTATTTCTAATAGCTATTGGTACCCTACGTGGTGGTTTAGCAACTGGCAACGCATCTTTTTTCTCTGACGCAACGAAACACAGGTCGAAGTTTTAAACGAAAGTATCGTAAAAGCCCTTAAAAAAGCAGAGAAGTTGTTCTGTCCTAAAATGAAGAAAAAACATGAGAAAATAAATCTCATCACTAAAAATCTGATCGAAGAAAGGAGGCTAAAGGACAGGTATAACACAAACTACGCAGAATTTAGTCAACTCAGTAAAACAATAAACAAAGAAATCCGAAAAGACATACGGCAACATAACATGAGAGAGGTGACAAGGGTGATAGAGAAAAATAGAAGTCTGAAAGTTCTAAGACACAACATGTCCACAGGAAAAAAGAACATACATAAGTTAAGAAATCAACAAGACGACATTGTGACTGATAAGGAAGAAATAGGGAAAACAGTGGAAGACTTCTACAGACAACTCTATGAAATAAGTGAATCCAATGAAAGACGCCCTTTACCAAAGATAGAGAATCAAGGCTCAGAATTAATGCCGAACATAACTGTTGACGAAATTAAAAATGCGCTTTGGGTGATGAAGAACAATAAATCCCCAGGTGAAGACAAGGTAATGACCGAAAGCCTAAAACTAGGAGGAATTAATAAGCTCTTACTGACACTTGCTAAACTGTTCAATAAATTTATGTGCGAAGCGATAACACCGACGCAGTGGAACAACGCGGAAATCATCTTACTTCATAAGAAGGGAATCAGCGACCTTAGAAACTACCGCCCCGTTAGCTTGTTGTCACAAGTATATAAGCTATTTACAAGAGTTATTACCAACAGGCTAGGAAGTAAGTTGGATTTCTATCAGCCAAGAGAGCAAGCAGGTTTTAAAGCAGGATATGGCACGAATGATTATTTACAAGCTATTAGTCATGATATTTGTTGACTACGAAAAAGCTTTCGACACAATAAGTCATCAAAAGATGTTAAAAGCCTTAACAGAGTGCCGTATAGATCATCGCTATATAAACATGATAAAATACATCTGTCAAAATGGGACAGCAAGCGTGAAACTGGCTGATAAAAAGACCAACGTATTTAAAATAAAACGGATACTCAAAAAGATTACAGTAAATGGCATGCATATTGAAGAAACCACCTCGTATAAGTACTTAGGACATGAGATACGCATTGGAAGAGATAATCAAACGTGCGAACTAAGCCGCCGCATAGGATTCACTTGGGTGGCATTCGGCAAGCTGAGCTATGTTCTTAAATCAGAACTGCCTATACTTACATATGGTGCAGAGACATTAACACTAACCAAGAAAGTAAGAAATAAAATTTGTGTTACCCAAAGAGCCATGGAACGATCGATGTTAGGCATTTCTCGTAGGGATCGGATCACGAACAAGGAAATAAGACGGAGAACAGGAGTGACAGATGCCATAGAAAGAATTATGACCCTTAAGTGGAACTGGGCAGGGCACATAGCTAGAATGTCGGATAACAGATGGACACAGCGAATAATACAATGGAGACGAGACAAGAAGCACATCGAAGTAGAGGTCGTCCACCAACAAGATGGTCTGATGACATAAAATGGATCGACAAAAATTGGATGCAAACAGCACAAAACAGAAATACATGGAAAAGACTGAGGGAGACCTATATCCAGCAGTGGATAGATCCGGGTTAAATGATGATGATCATGATGATGAATGCATCGTTTTTGAGTTTAAAGATACATATTTTTTTTTAATTTACCTAATTATGAAAACACATCAATATTATTTTTAACAAAATCCTCTTTTTTCTCATATGTTATACTATCAACCCTGGGTAAAATTTTGAAATCTAAACATGATGGAAGACCCAATATTGGTGAGCTTTTATTTCCTCTACAATAACAAATTTGAGGCTATAAAGAATATTCGTGAACAAACAATTTAAATGTACAATACCCAATGGAACAATTTTAAATCCACCATATGCTTCCAACATTATTTTACACTTTTCTAAGCCTATGTTTTTATCAATTTTATCCAACATATGATTAGGTAAAACGTTGACCTGTGACCCTGTGTCTATTTTAAAGTCAATATTTGCGCCTCCTACCTGAATAGTTTCCATCCATTCTTTACTATTTCAATTTCATTAATAGATATTGTTGCAACTATCATGTTCTCTGCATCCATATTATTACTAATGCCAGTTTCTATTACCTCTGACTGTCCTTAAACCACTGCTGCTAGATCCATTTGACATATTGCGGCACATTCTTTCCCAATGCCCATACCGCCAACACCTCTTGCATGTTTGACCATATGCAGGGCACTGCCTGCACAGTTGAAATATACATGAAACGGCGGAAAAACACTGTGGTTAAAAAATAAAAACAAAAAAGCAAGAAACACAGGCGGAGATATATCGGCGATTTTAAAGTTGTGCGGTTTGTATTACACTTCACATCACACATTCACTTCACCATAATTTAATTTATTAGAAGAATTTTTCAGCAAGTAACAAAAAACCAAAATTTTTTTATTTACTAATAATAATAATCGTTTCTCGTCTAGGGACCCATTGCTTTTAAGACAAACTAGATTAGGTCACGGATAAAAGGTAATAAGAAATGGGGTAAAACAGAGGTTATGATTCTAATTACAGTTAAATATTAAGCTTACTTTTGCAAATAAATTCCATCAAACTTTCATTTACAACTCTTATATTTAGAGATAGCAGATAGCACATATTGCACGGAGGAAAAATTTTGATGTTGACTAAATTTTTTATTAGATCTTCAGTTTGTTTTGTGTATTTTTTACATTCGAAGAAAATGTGATTTAGATCACGTTCTTTTTGACAGTCTGGACATACATTTGAATTTACGATTTTTAGTTTGGACAGATGATTAGGATAGCAGGCGTGTAATTTTATTGTAATTATGGATGTTATATACCTTCCTGGAACAGAATAATTTTTGAACCAATAATCACTTGGGATTGAAGGCTGTATAGAAGCATATTGCGAGGAAGAATGCGTACTATATATGCCAAGATTGTTTCCATTTACTATTACTATTGATATTATTTTTAATTATTGTTAATGCGTCTTGTCTACAGATTTGGTGACCAGCTTGCGTTCCGATATCAATGGCCATTTTAGCTAATAGGTCAACAAGTTCGTTGTATTTAAGACCTATATGTGCTTTAACCCACAAAAACTGAACAACTCTTTGGTTTTTATAAATATCATAAACAAGTTTTTCAATTTGAAAGACTTGAGTTATTACTAGGAAAATTTAAAGTTTCAATGGCTAACATAACAGACAATGAGTCAGATACTATTGTAACAGATGTATTTTGAGTGTTTTCAAAGTATCTTAATGCTTCATATATTGCTACAGCTGCAGCACTAAAGATTGAAAAACTAGGATTTAGCCGACAAAGTTTTTCTGTATTAGTTGATGGAATGTAGAAAGCACAACCAGTACCAACAATAGACTTTGAGGCATCCGTATAAATAAGAGCTATAACAGAAGAATTTTCGGCATTTACTTCTGCTTGATTATCTATATTCTGCATATTTTGTTTCTTTTCTTCATTAAACATATTTTTGTTAGGAAGTTTTTAAGAGAAGATGTTTCTTTTAGCATCATGTATTTTTTTGGAAAACATCTTGTTTGTGGTTTTTTTATAGTAGTCTAAATCATCCGAATAGCCCGTATCTGAAGGAACGAATTCATCACTGGACGACACATACCCGTCTGGTTCGCTTCCTGACTCAGTGTTTTCTAAAAAATATAAAATTATATGTAGTAAAATTAAAATAAATTCACTACAAAGGAATCATAAACCTTTTCAGTTAGGCTTACGTACGGTATCTATGTGTTTTTTTTTTCATTTTAATATCTCAACGGCACGGAAACAAAATTTGGCTTATCAAAAGCTCTTGAAAATAATTTTATTAAAGTTTGGGAAATGCATAGTGTCTATGAGACCTTGAAACAGCCAACTATCCGATATTACAATAAAAAGTTTGTAACACAGATTATAAAAATATTCAAAAAATTATTACTATTATATTAGATACCTCATCAACGAGGCTGGAAAGGTAAAAATTTAAATAATTATTCCCTTACTGACAGAATTTTCGGAAGTCGATGGTGAATGTCTGTACAATGTGTTTATTGAATACCGCGTCAACTTTACGGGTATTTAAATCAGACGAACATCTAGTAGGAAATTCACCTAAAACCAACAATATTGTAAGTAGGTAATAAAAACTGCAGTAAAAAGCATTATCTGGTAAAGTTTCTACGATGTCAGTTGAACAAGTATAAAAACAAAATTCGACACTCAAGTGCCGGCGTCCTTTGTAAAACATAGGCGGCCCAATAGAAATTAAATAATAAACTTTTATTTTTAAATTAAGGTCTAATATTTTGTTAAACAGTAATAATATTGTTAATTATTCACATTTTTTTATGAACTTGACACCAAAGATGATTAAAAGTTAATACACATAGTCCATTCACTAACGGTAAAATATTGTAAATACCTCTAAATTTTAAAGAACCACTGGGATTGACATGAAATTTGGCATACACATATAGCTAACGTGTCAAAGAAAAAAAGTGATATTGTGCCGATGTGTATTTTTGCCCTGGGGGTGGGTAAAGCACCTTCTCGGGGGTGAAAATATATACATCCGAAATAAGTCCGGAAGTGGATAAACTGACTAATTCTAGGCAACTTTTGTTCTATAGAGGTTTTTACTAAATCAATACTTTTCGAGTTATTTGCGAGTGAATATATTCATTTTTCAACAAAAACACCACGTTTTTGGACGATTTCTCGCAAATAACTCAAAAGGTAAGTATTTTATGGAAAAATGTTCATAGCAAAAATACAGTTTATAAAAAAGTAAAAACAATGGTATATGTATGAAGTCTGTATACCCAGCAGAAGCAGAGTTATAGCTAATGAAAAATAGATTCTTACCTATTCGTCAAATTCCATATCGAATAATTCAACGTGAAATAATCAAAAAAATGTTTTTTTACTTTTTTTTTAATTGTTTAAAGAAATCTTTATTTTTGATTTTTAAAAAAGTTTCTAGCATTAAATGTAAGCAAGTTACGCTCAAAACAAAGTTGATCCTTTTTGTTGGTAAAATATAATCATGAATATGATCTGTAAGTTTCATCGGTTTAAAGAGCTTATTTTTGAAAGATACTTACATGAAATCGGCCAATTCGTCTTCCAGTCGAATTGTTTCTTAGGTTATAGATTAATGGAGAGATCACATTTATTTCGATACACAGAACATATTTTTGACAAGTTGTGGAAGTCTTTGTAGAAATATTCAAACAATTAAACACTATCACTATCCGGGTGTCCAGAACTTGAGTCGTCGTTTGTGTTTATAACTACCGGTTCAATTGGTGGTAAAGTAGGATATTCTTTTTCTTTTACTTGAACATGCGCTACACAATTTTTCCAAATGTCAGTTTTGTTAAGTTCTTTGATCACTGTTCTTATATTTTGGACAACAACGTCACTTAATTGGGGAGATTGATTCATTTTCCGCAATTTCTTTTTTACATCGGCCCATATCATTTCAATTGGGTTGAAAACACAATGATATGGAGGGAGCCGTAAAACCGTATGCCCGTGGGGTTCAAAGAGTTTATCTATTACATATTCTTTTTGAAAATTTTGTTGCTTAATTAATTGCAACAATTCCTTTTTGGTACATTTACTAGGTGTTGCCATGCCTTGGTTCTCCATAAATTCTATGATATCTCCCTTCTTGGAGCTAGTATTTGGAATTTTGGTGAAGAGTCTAGAATGGTATGACGCATTATCCAATACTATCACTGAATTTGTTTTAATATTCGGTAACAGCTGTTCCGTTGCCCATTATTCGAAAAGTTCAGCCGTCATATCCTCATGATAATCAGCTGATGACTGTTTAATGTTTTTGGCCGATAATAACAAGGCATTAGGTATAAACCCACTCTTAGTTCCAGCATGTAGAATTATAATTCTTTTTCCTCTCGAACAAGGAGTACTCAAGCAGCAATTTTTGTTATCATCCATCCAGCCATATTGAACTACATTATGGGTGTCAAACCACGTTTCATCAAGATACACAATGTCTCTATTGTCATCTCGATATTCCTTTATTTTACGTAAATAATGTTGCCTCTGTATCACAATCCTTGTAGATTCCATAATTACCATTCTCTTATCTAATTTTTTATAACTAAATCCGCATTCTATTAAAACACGCCTCAATGTATCAAGGGATTTTTATATGCATAATCGGGATATATTTTCAACTTGTCCTGAAGCATTTCCAACGTTGGAACTTTGTTGTCCTGATAAAATTCGTACACATAGCGACAAATAACGTCTTTAGTGGCCTTATCATTATTTTTAAGGTTTTGTCCAACTCTTTGACGTTTAACAGAATGATCACTTACATCCCCAGCTGCAATAACACGTAAAACTGTCGTACGCGCAAGTTTGGTAAGTTCACATATCCTTAACACAATATTATTTTCCGAAAGTGTACTATTTTCGCCTCTTAAACAGGAATATATATTTAGAATAATCCTTTGCGCTTGAATATGTAAGTCCTTATTTAGAAATTCCCAATTCATTGGTGTTGGATCTAAAAGAAATATTTTTACTTTTAACTTTTAAAAAAAGTAGATTAAGGGTGAATATTATGACCGAGCATCCCTATACAACCAATTATTAAACTAGTTTTAAATAAGAATTTACATACCTAAATCGTGCGTTGGATTGCCGCTAGTATTCTCGTTGGTATCACATTCAAATGGTCGCCAAAAAGCCATCTTTAATGTATTTACAACTTATTTTCTACTGTCTTAACTCAAACTTAACTAAATCACAACACTACTAACTGTTTGCACAAAAATATTAAAAATATACGTGAACTTGCTGTCGTACACGACGATACTGAATATATCGTTTAGTATGAGAAACCTGAGAAGGCATTTTTGACCAGATAACGATCAAGTTTGAGCGTAATAACTTCCGAAGAATTTGACTAATTACACTTCAGTATTGCCCGATAAGATACGTAGAAAGTAATAAACCACAGCTGCAATATGGACAATACCGTTAGTGATCAATTATAAATAATGTTTATATTTCTGAATTATTGGGGACTGGACCCTAAAAATTCCTTAACTTTTATTGAAATTTAAAATTGATGATTAAAAGTATATACATACATAATGCAAATGAAATGTAATGTGCTTATTAATCTGAGAACTAAAAAATGAGACTACAATTTTACTATAAAAATAAAATAATTTATATAATAAGTTTAAAATAAAATAAAATAAGTTTATCACGACGACACTGTTATTGTGTTTATTTAAATGCTTGCTGCCTTTGAAACATGAGAAGCAATTTTTACCTGCTAACGGCTAAGCCAGATTTGGTTATAGTGTATGCACTTCCGAAAAATTTGACCAATTACATTTCAGTATTACCCAATAAGATACGTTCAAATTAATAAGCCACACCAATATCCATGTGAACTAATACCAGGAGTAATCAATAATTAGAATTACAAAGATTTATCTTTATTTCTATGTTCGCCGTAGAATTACTGACCGGACCCCAAAAATTGTTCTTTCCCAATTCATATCGTAACAACTTTACTTTACATACAACAACAAATATTAAAGATACTTATATGAACCTTTATATTAATATCTAATGTAATATTACCTTGTTTAGTACTATTTTCTCCTTTCTGTTGAAGATATAACCTGTAAATTCTTTTTCCTCTACTCTCAATAATTTTTTGTAGCTTTTTGACTTAAAAACTGTATAAACATAACATAACCTATAAAGTTAAAGTCAGAAAATCAACTGCTGAGCGACTGAACATTTGAGTGGATAAAAGTCATATGTTCGCAATCTAAGACATAATACCTTTATCCACTATAACCTGAAAATTTTGTGTGACATATTGCTTTAATACCTTCCTGTTTTTTTTTAATTTGCGAAAAATATGTAAATTTAAAATTTTAAAAGGTTAAACAGTATATTAGAAGAACAAACAACCAATAAAACAATTTTCCCAAAAAAGTGACATATGACCTTTATCCACTTAATGTCTTCAATTCAGTCCAGAATGTTCAAGCGATAAGCCCGTGTTGAATCCACGTGGTAAAATTCACTGGATGGTAGCGGTCATTGTACTGTAATTCGCGTATTATGCTGCTAAAATGTCTTCCGTCAATAATGCCCTCCAAACTACGAAACTAACGGAATAATAAAATTATGTATATAACATATAAAACAACAACAATGTATACATAGTTTATTATTATATCTAAATATAAAATTGTAAATAAAACTTAATTACGAACTTTACTAAAAGTCGGGGGGTGGTATGGCCGGTGGGGTTTTTCGCGGCACATTTTTTTTCTGTAAAAGTGGTTCCAACATCTGATTTTCCTCATCTGCAACGAGTCTCCGCTTGATCATTCTATGACGGTAAGAGTGATTGGAGGGCTTTTTGTAGATAGGTTCGTTTTTCGAAATACTGCTGTTCCAAAGCAGTAAGACTGCTATTAATAAGATGACAAGTCCGAAGGCTGCACCAACATATATCTTAAAAGACATTGTATCCGAATACTAAAAAGCAAATTGCTACTATTAATATATTGTCAAATTTAAGCAAATCAGTTAGAAATTATAACGAAAGGAATGGAAACATTGTGTTATTTTTTTAAATCTT